GAAAACGCTAAGATTCATTAAATTTTTTAGACCGACCTATATTATAATCTTATTCAAGAATATAAATTGTCTTTATAATTTAAATAATATCTTTAGGTGTTTATATAATTAAACCTTTGAAATCTTAGATTTTAATTTCTGTAATTACTTTTTCCTTTAAACATTGAAAGATCCACAAAATTCAAATAAATCTATTTATGCTGGTTTATTCTGCATTTATACTTACTCTACTCTATATTGAACCCGGAACATTTGGATACCTTTTCTGCCTGTAGTTGCATTTGTATTATTATTAACATGGCAACTGCTTTCGAGACTGGTATTTCAATCCTACATACATTCGTTTTTATTTATATTTTTATAAATTTAATACTTTTCTGGAACTAAGTTAGATATTTATCATAGTGTCAACTAGTTGGCCTTTCTTAAAACATTATATTTTATCGACACTATTATCTAGTCTTATTTAATCTTCTTAATTTTCTCCATTTATCCTTTAATTAATTCCTATGAATACAACGCCATGATATAAACTTCATTAAAACCATTACTTCAGAGATGGGAGTTATGCCCGAAATTTCTAAGGCAGTTCAGGAGATGGATTGGATCCTTCCAACTGATATTCAAAGCGAAGCGGTGCCACTAATTTTGGGTGGTGGAGATGTTCTTATGGCTGCCGAAACGGGAAGTGGCAAAACAGGCGCTTTTTGCATTCCTGTCATACAGATAGTCTACGAAACCATTAAAGATTTGGAATCCAACAAACCTGTAAATACAAAAATAATATTAAATCACTTTTAAAAAGCTTATTACATCTACCTGAAATTGAATTAATTTCCAACATAGCTTAGATATAAGTTTAGCGCTTTCGACGATTTATTTATAAGTATTTTTATTAGTGATTTTTGTATTAATATTAGATATTTTTACGAATCGCGCTCATTTTATGTTTGCTTTTAAACCATTTACTTACTTCCTTTTTGCTCTTGCTAACCATTTTGTAACACAAGGATTACTCATCTAAAGCATGTTGAAGTTCTCTTATAAAAACAAAAATAAAAATGTGCTTTATTTAGAATTTTAAAAATTTCAGATTACTAAAAGCGCCAAAACTGCTGTACCAGCTCATGCAAAACTCAATCCTCATGACAGAACCCAAGCGATGGCTATTGATCCAGATGGACTTCTTTGTCAGAGCAGAGACCCCGCTGGTTGGCATGGAGCCCGAGCTAATCTGGGAGTAAAAAACCACGGTACTATCCTTTTATATATTAATATATGCATGCCAAGCTATTTGTAATAGGCCGTCTGAAGTTAACGAGCTAAGAAATGCCTTACCTTGTTGGCCAATGTTTATATCTTCTAGAACGGGAACCTTTGTGGCATTCTACAGCGAAACTTATCTATCTTGATTAAATCTAGGTTCCATAACCCTGGTATTCAGCATAATGTCGATTGTAGGGCTAACTTCGATTTTATATCATTGGTGCGCTGCACTTTTGGATGCAATGTATAAAGATATAAAGGACGGATTTCTACTTTCTTTGAATAATTAATAGATCTTAGTTTTTTATACATAAAAATAATACATCTTTGGCTATTTTGAGTTCCAATTGACTACTATTTTAATTTTCTCTCCGTAGTTTTGCCTCTTACCCATGGCTCACTACTTTATTGTTTTTATCTTAAGCTAGAGATTTAATCACTCATCAGATTTCTTTCGTTAGCCTTGTCTCACCTAAATATCCTAGAATGAAATATACAGCGATGCAAGCGCCTATGCAGGTATTTTGTGTATATAACGCAACATCAGGTTCGAATTAATTTGCTCAATATGCAAGATTTTTTCACGCTTTCTATCACTACGGTTTTTATGTTTTATTCCGAATTTTATTGAATAAATATTGATAATTTGGAGTATCACACAAGCCTTTTTCTAGGTGCTCAGCCATATATCCTGCTAGATCTTGCTAGATCTTCCTGACGATATTTATTTCGCAAATTCGCA